GGTTGAAGGTTTGTTGCAAAAGGAATAATCAAACCACGACTTAAATGCTGAAACGCATCAAAGGGAATAAGTTCCCACGTTAAGCTCCTAACTATATCAAAATCCCAAAAGTTCAGAGCGGGGATTGAGTAGTACTCGGGTACTAGTTCACGGACAAACTGATTGGTTTATGTTTTGTTTGCTTCTCATTTGTTTTTGTTGATATTCAGACGGAAACTTAAACTGGCAAGGGTTCTCCCTGGTGGTCGTTATTTGATCAAATCCATTTAATTTTGTATAGACACAAATAAAAAGAGCAAATAGAAAGAGAAAGAAATAGAGAGAGAGAGAGGGAGAGAGACATACGATTAAACACGGTTTATGACACATACCCATCATTCCAAGGCTTGTTGTTGTCGTTGTTTCCCGCGTTGCCGAAGTTGTTTCTCTGCTGTCCGAAGTTTTTGTGTCCTTTGCCACGTGATCCAAAGCCGTGTCCATCATCAAAGCTGGGTGCAGGCGGTCCACCATTGCGTCTGAACGGATTATCGTTAAAAGAGTTGTTGTTGGGGCCATTGAAATTCATATTATTGGGACCCGGACCGGGTCGAAAGTTGCGATCGTTTGGATTATTAGGCCCTGGACCAAAGTTGCGCTCATTTGAATGATTAGGTCCGGGGCCAAAGTTCCGATCAAAGGGTACAGGTGAATTCGGTCCACCGGGTCCGCCAAATGGCCCGGGACCGACGAAGTTTGGTCCTGGTCCAGGTCCGTTCGGGCCGCAGAAATTTGGACGAAACGGACCCGAGCCAGGACCATTGCCACCAGGTCCATTGCCACGGAAATTGGGTCCGAAATTTGGTCCACGATCGTTTGGCCCTGGTCCCTTGAAATTGGGATTGTTGGGTCCAGGGGGACCAAAATTACGTCCGAACGGTCCATTGGGTCCAGGGCCGCCGCCAAATGGGCCCGGACTCCGGCCTGGTCCCAAGCCCTGACGCCCAAAATTGGGACCACCGAAATTGGGTCCATTTAGCGGACCATTTGGTCCGCCTGGGCCACTAAAATCTGTAAAATTCGGTCCCATAACCTGGCCACCACCAGGTCCAAATGGCGGACCGATGGGCCCGTTCGGGCCAAAGCCATGTGGGGGTCTTTGATCGGGTCCAAAATCGCCGCGAATGCCACCATCATTGATGGCTGGACCAGGACCTAAGCCGGGACCAAAGCTACCAGCAGGGCCATCGTTCGACATGTTAACGAAGTCTGGATCCTGGGGACCACCTTTCTGGTGATTCTTCTTGCGCTGCCACTCGGCAAAGGACAGGGCACGGCCGTCATTGACGTCATTAGCGCCGTCATTGCTGTTGCTGTTGTTGCTTTTGCTGCTGTTGTTGGCATGCTCAGATCGCTCATTGGACTTCTGTTCCTGGTCCTGCTGTTGTTCCCGTTCACGACCCTGCGCCTGGGCCAAAGCCTGCGACAAGTTGTTCATAAACTCGGGATCTTTGAGCGCATTGGTCACATTATCTGGCAGTGCTTCGCTGACAGCCGCCAGCTTTTCCGACTCGCTGCCGGTGCGTTCTAGTGGCTTGTCAACGACCACATCGAACAGCGATGGTATCTTCTTGTTATTATCCACGCCCTTCCCTGACTGGGATGCTTCGGGCGGGGCAGCAGCTGTTCCGTCGGCAACCAAATCGAGACCTGGTATGCCATCACTCTTTTTAAATATGTTCTTCATGGGCGTATCAACCGCAGACTCTGTCTCCGTGTCCTTCTGTCCTTCGTCAACATCATCGTCATCATCATCCAGGGAGATTATCAATATCTTCTCCTGCTTGGTCTGTTTGGCAGGGTTCGATGGGCTTGCCACAACATCGGTTTTACGCTTGCCGAGTGCACTGCTTACAATTGGAGTTGTATTCACATCTTGCGTCGGCTTCTGTGAAAATTTACTCTGGCTGGCCGCCGGTTGTTGCAAATTTGGTTCTTGATTCGGTTTTGATAACGATTGTTGAAGTGCTGGAGTCTTTTGGGGCATTTGGGGCTCCTTGCTAGGGAATGGCCCTGGTTGCTGCTGCTTTAAGTCCTTTGTTTGTGGTTCTCGTTCTGGTTCTGGCGAATAGTAATGAGAATCATCTTCATCTGAGCCGTGCGGCGACTCTTCTTGTTTCTTTATTTCGCGTATTGTTACTGGTTCTGGCGAATAGTAATGAGAATCATCTTGATCTGAGCTGTGAGACGGCTCTTGTTGCTTCTTTATTTCGGGGCCTTGGTTCTCCTTCACGTTTTCCTCATCAGAATAGCCTTCACCCTCCTCATAGTCGCCATAGCGAGCGCCGCCAGTCTGTTGTTGCTGATAAAATTGTGGTGATGGTTGTTGTCGATTTGTTTGTGGCCCTTGTTGCTGCCGCTGCGACTGCGGCTGCTGTGGTTGTTGTTGTTGCTGTGGATTCTGTATTTGGCGTCTGCGTCGCATTTGCTCACGACGCTCGGCAATGCGACGTCGCTGTTTCTCAAACTCCTCCTCATAGCGTCGATATTCATCGCGATCCGGATGATTGGCATTGGCACGCTTCCAATCTTCGAATTGTTTCTCCCACTGATTGAACAGTTGATCAAAGCTGGCCTCGTCCAAGTCAGGTGCACGCTGCTGCTGCGGTTGGTTCTGCTTACCCTGTTGTTGCTGGTTAAAGTTAGGCGCATTTGGGCGATTGTAGCCGGAGTCGTTGAAGTTATTGTTACTATTCGGCGGAGGGCCAAAGTTACCTCCGCCTTGATGCGGCCGATTTGGTTCCCAGCGGCCGCTGCGCCGATTGTTGTTATTGTTGTTGTTGCCAAAATTACCAGGACCAAAAGTATCATTTGATCCTTGGCCAGGGCCATTATTGCCAAAGTTTCCGCCGTAATTGCCACTCGGTCCACCAAAGTTGCCCGAATTACAAGGTCCCGGTCCCAATCCCGGTCCTGCGGCATCATTATCATAACTACCCGAACCGGGGCCCATTCCAGAGTTCAGGCCACCGCGAGACGCGCCAGCATTATCGCCGCCATAGGGACCTGGCTGTGCAGGGTTAAATGGATTGCTGCGATTCATGTTGTTGCTGTTATTGCCAGGGGGCGTGTTCTGCCAGTTACGTCGGTTGGCAAATTGATTGGGCTTATTGGCGCCTTGTTGAACATTGCTGTTGTTGTTGCCATTCCCGGAGTCATTGCCCTGCCAGCGATTGTTGCGCCCTGGTCCTTGTTGTTGCTGTCCCACATCTGGCGGTGGCCCATCCCAGCGAGGCCGCTGATCCGCTTCATTTATATTGCCTCTATCAGTGCCCTTGTTCGGTGGTCCTTTTGACCATGGAGCATCCATTTGATTTGCCGACGATGACGACGGCGGTGGCTGTTGCATAAACGAAGGCGGCGGCTGCTGTAAATTTGGAAACATGCTCGAGTCACCAGGATTGGGCGCCTGATTATAGCCAACGGGTGGCATTTGATTGAATCTGCCCGGCGGTTGTTGGTGCTGCCATTGATTTAGCGGCGGTTGTTGCTGGTGATGCATCGGTTGCTGCTGCTGCTGTTGTTGAGGATGTTGCTGGTAGACTTGCGGCGGCGGCGGTGGCGGCTGATTGTACATCTGGGGCTGTGCCATTATTTTACCAGGCATCTGACTCTGCGAATGCGGTTGCATTTGTGGCGCCGCTGGCTGCATCTGAGGCTGTGGAAAGTATGTCTGTGGTGGTGGTTGTGCCTGCTGCACTGGCATCTGTGGACCCATTTGGGCTGGCGGATAAACGGGACCAATAGCAGGCACAACCGATGCCACTGGCGCTGCGACAGGGCCCACATTGGGTACTACAGGCGCTGCGACCGGTGCAGGCGCCACAGTTGGCACAGTGTTAGCAGCTGCCGCGGCGGCCATTTCCCGCTTGTACTGTTGCCAACCATAAAATCATTTGATTACTAATTGGAAAGGTTAACAACGAGCACAACTTACCTGTTCTCCATACTGTGCATGCCACTTGGCGTACTCCTGTTGGTATGTCTGCCACTGCTGCCAGTGCTGCTGCAATGCATACTGCTGTTCCGGCGTCATCGCCGCGTACTGAGCGGCCGTGTATTGTTCATACGGATTGGTAGTAGATTGGCCAACCCCAGCGCCCATGTAGGTGCCGGTAGCACCTGCAGCCGTAGCAGCATTCGAAACAGCGGCTGCGGCTGGTGTATTATCGACTGGCGGTGGCGGTGGTGGCGCATCGGGCAGTGGAGGCGGCACTGCCGGTTGAGGTGGCGGCGCAGCCATTGGCGCAGCTGGCACCACAGCTGGCACCGCAGCGACTGGCCATTGATTCCACATTGGCGATAGTTAAAAATTTACGTTCTATATTGCAATTCTCTGATAGTCACACGCGAATAGTAATTGTTTTAAATTGTAATTGCAGTCTGATTATTAATTTACTTACTTTTAAGGTTGCTTTGGCGCGGTTTTATATAATTTGTGCGGTTTGGAACATTGACAAGAAAACCAAAACCGAATATAAAGAAAAGAGCACGCACTTACTTCGCCATTTTTGGCTTGAAAACTAGAGATGAACTTTGAGAGGGATGTTTATATCGTATCGCTGATACAATACTGCTTGTTCTTGCCTATCGTTGCAATTAAATGCGATAACAGTAAGAGATGGACTAGCATCAGAGAATTATAATAGGTTACGCGCCACAACATTGTCGATAGATTTGGAATATTTATCTGTGCTGACATGTGTCGTCAAGAGTGCATAGGTTTGCTCCTATATATTATTTTCAAAGGCACAACAACTGCAGTGCAATTGTTCATTGTGTAAAGCTCATAGCCTGTCATGCCTTACCCCACTAAAACAATTAGTATAAATATTTTAGTATTGATCATTATCACATGTTGGTTTGCTTATTGATATTTATGACGTAGTTCACCAAAGCGAAACGATATGTGTATCCACTGAACTACTACCTTGTAGTTTGAATAGTGCATGGTCCCAACACGTGCACAAATAAAAATTGTTTTTTATTCTTAGTCCGTGCCTACAAATATACATGAACGAGTTAAAATGAGTACAAGTAGCACGAAAATCAAATATCTTGTAGCAGATACAACAGCGTTTATTAATGCAGTGCCACTGAATGTAAGTGCATGCATTTTACACAATTTTTTGTTTTTTTTTTTTATGTTTGATTGTTTATAGGAATATGCGGACAATGTGTTAACCGTGCCTGAGGTGGTTGCTGAGGTGCGCAATAAACGCCAAATACGCCGACTTTGTGTGCTGCCATTTGATCTGCAGGTGCGAGAGCCGCGCCCAGAAAGTGTAAAACACTGCGTGGAGTTTGCCAAGAAGACTGGCGACTATGCAAGCTTATCCGGCATTGATTTAAAGGTGATTTCGCTCACGTATGAACTGGAGGCGGACACACTGGGCACCGAGCATCTGCGCACCGAACCAGTCGTCTCGCAGGTAATTGCCTCCAAGGAGCAACCAGAGGAGATGCAGGATGTTAATAACAAGCGTCTGGTAGGCTGGTACATGCCCGAAGGCAACGAAGACGATGAGGAAGCAGAAGAAGATGAGGAGGACGATGCCAATGAGGCAGTCGACGACAATGAACGGCAGCTTGAAAAAAGCAGTGATCATGTGGACCATATTAAGGAAGCCATTGAAGCGCAGCTGCAGGGCAAACAGATACCGAGTCCAGACAGCAAACAGACAGGCGACAATGACGAGAACGAGGACGAGGACGACGATCTGACACAGGAGGAGCTGGATAAGCTATTTGAGAAACTGAAATGTGCGCCATCCGCAGACGAAGAACGGGCAACTTGCGATCTTTTAGTGGCGGAGCCAAAAGAGGAAGACGAAGAGGAGCAGCCAATCTGCAATAATAACGACGCCGCCGACGACGACGTTGGCGACGATGGCTGGATAACGCATTCAAACATCAAGAAGGCCAAAAAAGCGCTCGAGGGCAAAGTGGAAACAGATATTGTGCCGCCAGTGGCGTGCATGACCACAGATTATGCGCTACAAAATGTGCTAAAACAGCTGAATCTTCAACTGGCCGCGCTCAATGGACGCATTATCAAGCAGCTGCGCACCTACATACTGCGCTGTTACGCCTGCTTCAAAACGACGAGCATCATGACCAAGGTGTTCTGTCCGAACTGCGGCAACAAGACGCTGAAACGCGTGGCCGTCAGCCTGGACGAGAATGGTAAACAGGTGATACACATAAACACAAGACGTCCCCTTTCGTCCAAGTATAAGAACCAGAGTCTGCCACGCTTCCATGGCGGCAAGCATTCGCGCAATCCCATTCTGTTTGAGGATCAGCCCATGCCGCGCCAGATGCCGTCACGCGTGGCCAAAACAAAGACAAATGCCCTGGATGATGATTATATTGCCGGCTTCTCACCGTTTGTGATGCGTGACGTGGACTCAAAATCAGCAATGCTGCGCTCCAAGGGCAACCTAAAGGAGTGGGCGCGCAATAACAACTTCGAGGAAGATCGCAGACGCAAGAATTACAACCGCTTGTATAAATAGTACGGAATGTTATACTACATGTGTATATGCCACAAACATATATGTTATAATAAATAAATAATAAAATCTAAAAATAAAATATTCCAAAGTTAAATTTCTTTAAATGGAAGCGAGGAAGCTAGCTGGCTATAAGAATACCAGGCTTATATGCCGGGTAACCGGGTATAAACTCAGACTGTCTGCTGCAACAGAAGAAATCTATGCCAAGTTGCATCAGCATATCTACAAAACAAAACCAATTTGCATAGAAACCGACAAACATATTGAATTAACTATATCGTTGGACTTTTGAACTGGTCAGCGATATCTCTTCAATGCAATACACAATATAATACCCTCTGTACATACAGGCTGATTCGATGCACGGTTTCCACTCCATAGTGTTCCCCTTGAGAGAAAGAGAGAGAGAGATAACGTATGTTAGGGAAAATATGAAGTTGCGATCAATTTGGAACAGACTTTAAATGGGTAACAAGTTCATTATGTTTTTTTTTTTTTTTTACATGGCCTTTAATTTAAATGGATCAGATCCGTTTAGAAAATATTCACAGCTCGAGGCACAACTCGTTACCCGGATAGGCAGGCAGATTCAGCTCGTACTTGCGCTGCAGAGCTGGCGGCACAAAGCGTCCGCCTAAAAAGTGATGCTTGCCCTTAAAGTGTTTAGCACACAGCTTGGGCGCCGTCAGTGAGATGAGCAGCGTTGGCTCTAGGTCACAATCGTTCAGCTTGCCCTGCTCCACATCCCAGCCACTGGGTATGTCCACACTATACAAATTCAATGGAGTAGTTTAGTAGGCGGATAAATGAATGGTTAATGCGCTGCATTCGCACCTGGCTATGGGCAGCTTTGTTTGCTGCAGCAGCTCCACCACCGACACAAAGTCGGCGCGCACCGGCGGCTTGAAGCTAAAGCCGAATAGTGCATCCACGATTAAATCATAACGATCGGCAGCTTCCTCCAGGCGAGGACATTCGGTTATGCTGCAAATCTCCATGCGCTGGCACTGATGTGACAGATTCTCGTAAAGCGGCTTTGGCGTTGGCTTTGGATAATATATGGCGGGTGTGTAGCCCATTAATGCCAGATGGCGAGCACAGACCAGGCCGTCGCCACCATTATTGCCTGGTCCGCAGCAGACAAGTACACGGGCAAAGTCCTTCGCCGGAAAGCATTTGGCCACGGCGTGAGCACAGCTGAGACCGGCTAGTTCCATTAGCTGATCCACACTGAACTTGTACTCATTGAAGAGCTCCAGGTCCACATTAATGGCCTCACTTTGATTTAAGTATTTCAGCATGCCCCTGTCCTTGTTGTTGCTGCAATGACAGAATTCGTTGCGTTGTGTTTGTTGTATTATTTGTTTTGATTTTGCGATGTTTGCCGAAATGAGATGAAATCGGGTTCGCAGTGAGGAGCCAATTGCCAAGCGGCCCAACTTGGCAAGTTGCAGTTGCATGGGCCAAAAAGCCATATGCAAGACTTTTGGAAATTGAGTATTTAGTTCAAAAACTGGGAAACATAAATAAAAGATTTCTTTTTTACTTTTTGTCTTTTGTGTGTAAAATTTATTTGCTTATCCTATCAGTTGAAGCAAATGGATATTTCAACTCTTACTTGTGTCTGGTCACACTTGAGTAGACCGCCATTTTTTAAACATGCGCTAGCCAGCACCTACTTTGTATGTAGAATTTCACTGCACAGTTTGCGACTTTTCGCTCAGTTCAAATAATTTCAACAAAATTCATAGTAGAATAGACTTCAAAGATATTTAGGCGCCGCCTCTAGCCGGCACTATGGCCTGGTTTCGTAGGGATGTGGGCAGCCGTCTTAATAAGAGCGTACAGAAATCAACCGAAAACCGTGTCATCGAGTCGCAGGAACAGCCAGCGGCTCCGGGTAATCAATGCCGTCTGTTCAACAAAATTGCACATATATGAATACAATTTGTATATCCACAGAGCAACACGAAAACAAAGAACAACTAAGCAATCAATTGGAAACTGAGCAAGCATCACAAACTCAACTGCCCAAGGAAACTGGGACCTTTAGTTCAAGATTTCAGGGGCTGATTGCACCGGTGTTTAGCTGTTTTAAAGATGATGAGTAAGTATAAATGAGTGACTTCCTGCAGACAAGCAACTATATATGTATATATATAAATATGTATATATATATATATATATATATGTGTGTGTATGTGCTTAGTCGTCGCTCGCTGGACGTACGTCCGATCAATCGTTACGCGGAGTGGCTACGGAGTCAAATGATATCCGGAGTTCTAATCAATGGCGTTGTCGGCGAAGGGCCAATGATGCGTGTGCGCGAGCGCAAGGCGAACTGCGAGTATTGGCAGCGTGCCGCCGTGCGCCACAATCTGATGATCATGGTGCAGGTCGGCGGGGCGCCGTTACCCGACGTCCTCTCGCTGGCCGCACACGCCGAGGAGATACGCGTTAGCGGCGTTGTCACATTGCCAGAGTTATTCTATCGGCCCCGCAATGTGGATCAATTAGTGGGCTATTGCCAGCATGTGGCGACCCGATGCAGCACGAGGCCATTCTTTTATTATCACATGCCTTCGATGACGGGCGTGGACCGTAAGTTGAAGTGTTGAAGTGCCATATGATCATGTAATCAAAACATCTGCCGCCTGCAGTGGATATGGTTGAATTCTGCGCCAAGGCTGAGCGCACCATATCCAATTTTATGGGCCTGTACTATGCCAGCGCTGATCTGGAAATGGGTCAGCGGTGCCTTCGCTTCGGCCGTATCGTTATGCTGGCCTCCACGGCGCTGCTAGCCAGCGGGCTAATGTCCGGCTTTAATTGCAGCAGTCTGGTCGTTGTTAATATCCGACCCGATCTCGTGCACAAGATCTGTGAAGCCTTCGATGACAACGAATTGCAGCTGGCCAGGGACTATCAAAGGGAGCTGAATCAGCTTATTGAGATACACACACACGACAGCCACATGGAGAACTGGGTGGTTTCAATGAAGAACTGGTTTAACAAGGAGTCTACCTCCCGACAAATCGGAAGCTTCAACGCAGGCCCTGCACGGATTGTCTTTTAGCAAGCGCCAAATTTGACCAAACTGTTCAATAATTCTTATAATGTATCAAAACTGTCGCATAATCTCTATAATGTATATAAAACTGTTTATGCTGACTGACTGACGGACAGACTGACGGACGGACTGATTGATTGACTGACCCACCGTCTGATTGCTGATCAACACCGGGATGCTGCATTTTTCAACGACATTTTCTTTTTCATTCAACAATACGGAATTTTACGCGCCTTTAAATTTGATGTGTACATTTTAAATATTTCATGCTCATAGAATTGTGCACATGAGTTACAAATATTTTAAAATAAACTAAGAGAAGCAAAGTAAGAAACAATTTACACAAAGGCTTCGTTTACAATAACTACTTTAAATATATAGCATTACTTGATTGATTTACATATATAAAATGGGTAGCAATACTTTGAGAGGAAATGCTATCCAAAGCAAAAACTTGCAAAGAAAGTTAAATTGAGTATTGAGTATTGGAACTAAATTTAGTTTTTACATATTTTGTCTTTCACTTTTAAACTTTTCTGTTTTGGCACTGGTAATGGAATTTATTGTGTTTTTGAATGGGGAAAACAATGAGTGTATTAACTAACCAGATGTAATAAAATTAGTTCGTTTTGTTAACTCTATTTTGTGTGTGTACGTATGTCGGTCGATATGCTCGATATGATATATATATATATAATATTTGTATAGATAGAAAAGTAAAAATAATTTTTGGAATACACATAGCAATTGGAATAAATACAAGTATATTAATTTGCATTTGCAAATATATAGTTATAAATCAAGAATAACTGACCAACCATAGTTAGCCAAGTTTAATTAGAACGTGTCAATGTGCAGGCGCTCGTGTCGCAGCTGAGAGGCATGAGTGCCGAATCGCTTCTGGCAGTGACCGCACTGGAATCGCCGCTGCCCCTCGTGGACGACCCGGACATGCCGGCTGATGGCGCTTTTGTGTCGGAACAGCTGCGGGCATTGCTTGCACTTGAACTTCTCCCAGTCGGGATTGTGGATACGCAGATGGGTGAGCAGTTCGGTGCGTGTTACCTTCGCGACGCCACAGTGCTCGCAAATATGCGGCCTCTCCTGTGCATGTCGCTTCAGATGCTCGCCAAGCGCATTTTTGGTGCTATATTTGCGATTGCACTGCTCGCAGATCAACTCCACTTCCTCGCTGGGCGTTGTGGTGGCAGCCGCAGCAGCCGGGTGCACATTACGTATATGCGAACGCAGCTGTTCGTAGCGTGTGAATGCTTTGTCACAGTTGCGGCACAGGAACGGTTTCGGATGACCCTCGTGAACGCTGCGTATGTGTGCCTCCAGATAAGGTAGCTTGTACACCTGCTTGCCGCACTGCTGGCAGGCGAGCAGCTTGCGTTTGCTGGCAGCCGCAGCTGCAGCTGCAGCGTCTGTCTCTGCACTGCTCATGACGGTCTCATCATCATTTGTCGAGTCCAGGCTCTGATTGTTAGCATCTACGGCTGCGTCTGCATCAACGTCAGCGTCTGCTCCAGCGTCTTTGTCTAGCTCGTAATCGTATACTTGTTCACGTTGTGTCTCGTCATCCGTGGGCTCAGCTTTCACGAACGACAACTGCAAAAATGCTAGCTCAGCCCTAAAACAAGCTGACTCAACTGTAAAGAATTGTATATACCAACCGAGTGATCAGCATTTTCAGCAGGATTAGCATCTGTGACCGGACGTTCCGGCTGGTCGACAGTCAGGGATATGGCCAGGCGCATCAACATCTCGTTGCTTTGCTCGGCGACGCAGCAGAGCTGCTGGAAATACTCCACGGCATTGTAGCACAATGCGCAAATGTTCTGAGGAAAGGTGTCCGGTTGCTGAAATACGTCAATGGCAAAAAACTGATTCAACATTTTCGCCAAATGGGGTAGCGCCTTCGAGTTGTAACTGGCTTTGTTGCGCTGAGCGTGATGGCTGTCGGCAGTTGCATTTTGCTGTTGTTGCTCGTTAATCTGGCGCAAGTGGCGCAGGCAAATGCGACAAAGCTGGGAAATATTTGCAAAAGTTAACATAATAACACAAATCCAATTTAATCGTGTTGCGCACGAAACGCACAACCGTTTGGAATTTAGAGAGCGTAACAATGTGACCGTTTTATTGACCACGTAAAATACGGCAACTTTGTCCATTTACAAATTTAAATATAAGTGAAAAAAATGATCAAAAACGTATCTAAAATTAAAAACCCGTTAAGCATACAGATTGGATAGCCCGCGAATGAGTTTTAATGGTTGTTAAACTATTTAACATGTTGCGCTTCGGCCCATCGATATCGATTGAATTATAATCGAATAGTCGAAGCTGCTAAATTATACTGGCAAAATAATTGCCAGAATGCCAGTTTTTCGCTGCTTCCCGTTTTCGGTCACACTTGCCGTTTGTCTTGCGTTTTCAGTGTCTCAAATTAACAAGGTTTTAGTAAAACTTTTTGATTAGTTCTTTAGTTTGTACTAAAGTATAGCCATACTTCCAACAATAATCTGATATCGACAATATGGCACTTAACCCACAATACGAGGATATCGGCAAGGGCTTCGTTCAGCAATATTATAGCATATTCGACGACCCGGCGAACCGCGCTAATGTGGTTAACTTCTACAGCGTGAGTAGCGTCCCTCATTTGGACGACCAAGTTCCCTAGCCATCCCCATCGCCACTTTCAGATACTAAATTTAAACAGCATACACACATTTCTGTATTAACCAGGATATGTAAAAACAAAGGCTTACTTACCGTGGCTGGCCACACGGGTGACGCGCTATGCGCCCTTGACAATTTGCCTCAAACATAATTTTTTGCCTGGAGCTGCAGCTACAAAAAGAGCGCGCAAACAGAATTTTGTTATTTTCGGCACTCAAACAATGCTGTTTAGATTAAACCTAAATAATAAATATATCTGCATAAATGTGGCTTTCTCGAAATTTCGTATAAAAAGTATGACACACACACACACACACACATTCTCATATATGCCAACATACATATGCACGCATATAGTCATGTTTGTATATACATGCATATACATGAATCGAATGTGTGTTTATGTATTAGTGTACACGCACGCACTAAACGAATATTTTCAATTTGTTTCCCATTCATTTTGCACAGGCAACAGAGTCCTTCATGACCTTCGAAGGCCATCAGATACAAGGAGCGCCAAAGATACTTGAGAAAGTGCAGGTAAGTGCTGACATTAACATTTAGAATCGAAAAAGGTGTAACCAACTTGTTGTCATTCCACAGAGTCTGAGCTTCCAAAAGATCACGCGCGTAATCACCACAGTTGACTCGCAGCCCACGTTCGATGGCGGCGTCTTGATCAATGTGCTGGGCCGTCTACAGGTGAGAATCATAAGCGAGCAATGCGTTCGCCAACTACATAGATGGTTAGGCATATGTATATGATATATAGATATATATATATATATATGTATGTTTCGTGTATCGTATATATTGATGCAGACCGATGATGATCAGCCGCATGCGTATATTCAGACCTTTGTGCTCAAGCCTGTGGGCGTTAGCTTCTTTGTGCAGCACGATATCTTTAGGCTTGCGCTGCACGATGTGTAGCCAAGCAGATCGACAGTAAACAACAACAAGAACTACAACAACTACAACCGAAACACACTCAGCGAGCGATCCTGGCCAGGCAAAGTAAACAGCATTTTGTTGCATCTAATCGTAACAACAACAAACAAACCAACAACATTGACTTACTAAATGAGATTAATACTTTTGTATAATTGTTCTATTGAACCATGCTAACAAAACTACATGCACACCCAACTTCAATATATGTACATAAATACATACATGCATACACACACCTGCTGCAGCAGGCCCTCTGTTCCTCCGGCTCCCGCTCATTGAGATCATCGTGTCTTCTTTCTACTCTACACTCTGCGCATGGGTTGCCTTTGCAGTCAGGTTATTGTTAAAGTCTTAATGCAATTTAACATATGTCAATTAGTGCATGGTTTTTACGACACCGCAACAAAAACCAAGCTTCTAATTTTGTTTGTTTGTTTTGGAATAATAACATTTATATTACCTTTGCAGTCAAGTTAGTAAATTGAAGTCCATTGCAGTCTTAGTTTAAGTAATACCAGCTAATTCAGCTCCTTTCCTACGTGCATGTTTTCTGAATATATGATATGATATGCAACAAATGCTTCAGACTGGGAATCACTCGGTTACTTGTTCTAGTCCAATCTTTTTTTACAAATTGCTTTTGATTCAAAATGTGTTTTTAAAAATTATATATTTATTTATGAAAAACATGAAAATAAAGGCTAACTATGATGATGTTATCCCCCTAATGGAAGACACCAATCCCAGAGCTTTTTCTAGTATTCCCTGCTTTTATATATTCCAAAAATGTTTATTGTATGAATTGTATTTAAGATAAGCTAGAAATTGAGGCAGCATTTATAAATATATATATATAGGGATAGGGATATAGGGACCAACAATAGATGAAATGGTTGTGTTGACATTAACTGCCTGCAAGGGTATGCCCAGCTTCGGTGCGCCGAAGAGCGCATTTCTTCTGGATTATTGGTGCATTACTGACACTCTAGTTGTTTTTTTTATACTCTCCCTCTTTTAATGCTATATCTTAACTTTGTATTTGCACGCGTTTTAACAAACATTCTGCAAACATTGATATTATAATGTTCGATTACGAAGGCATATCGTATTAATATAAATTATTTTCAAACGTTTTTCAGTGCGATGACGATCCGCCACACGCTTTCTCTCAGGTGTTTGTGCTGAAAGCCAATGCCGGTACCTATTTTGTTGCTCATGATATTTTCCGCCTTAACATACACAATTCAGCCTAAAAAAGCCACAACAACAGCCAACAGCAACCAGCAGCAACAACATCCAAAGATGCAGCCCTAGATCAACACAACTACGACGACAACTTAAAAAGACGGTGTTGCATATTTTCTCACGTCAATCAAGCATAAAAATCATACAAAAAAAAAAACACAATAAAAATTTAAATCTAACTACTTTAAACATGTAAAAGCGCGTTCGAGCTATTTTTGATGCTTTCCATGTCAGCGGCTAATTGCCGCATGTGTATGTATGTATGGCTGTGTGTGTATGTGTTGGGCGGGCCTCAGCCTAATTATAATCACATTTGATGCATGTTGTAGGCTTATATTTCTGTTTATTGACAAGAACAATTACAAAAAATGTCACACAAAATATGATTAAAGCAAAGGACTAAAAACAAAAATACAAAATGTGTACATGAGTGAGAGAGCAGGAAAAAATATGCATAAATAAGCGCGTCTTTTTGATCGTTTATTTATTTATTTTTTTTTTTTTAACTAAATTTGTGATTTAAAAAATGTATGAAAGTAATGCGTTGTGAAAATTGGCAAGTTCATCTGTTAAGCATAAATATGTATGTACGTATACGTTATTTATTTAGATTTAAATGCAAGGTCATTGGGCGAATATCGATAATATATGTAATATATATATAGATTTATCGATAATTATATTACTTATCCCGAAATGTGAAGATGGCATCGAACCCAAACAACACACCATTCACAATAGATAGCGATGCCTTGATCAGCGCTAAATCCCTTGTACGCGTACGAAACGAGAACTCCCAGGCCTCTATTATGAAGACGCCGCTGGCCACAAATAGGGCGCAGCCGAGGACACTGAAGAAGATGTCTATGCGCTTATGAATAGGTGCACGCATTAGAACGCCTTTTATGAAACAAGATTTATAAGCATCGGTCTCTACATATAAATATGCAAGTATGATAGAGTTTGGGTGCTTACCTGCAAATACACCAATTACAACTATAATGTAGCCGGTGAATGTGCCCGTTGCCATGAATGACGTCATAATGTCGCGATCGTTGAAACTGTAGAAATGCAGCACAAGGCAGGCGATGGAAAAGGCCTAAGGATAAATCCAATTAGTATTGATTAAATCCGTAAGAGTTTATTATAAATACCCTACTCATTTCTTTTTACATAGCTGTACATTTTCAGAAAATCAAAAATTACTTAAAGGTGATAACTTTTTGATAGTCGGAATATTTCGGTGAATCTTTAAGACTTTGTATACATTTGTGTTAATTGTGATATATCACAGTGGAAAATGCACTAGAAATTAAAAAGAAAAAAACAAAAATAGAAGCAAGCTTTACCAATTCCAAAAATTTAACCACATTTAGGCGAGCTTTCCGTTCACCGTGAGACATTCTCAAAAAATAATTCGAATCACACGTTTTTAATTGCTTGATATATCCTTCAGAGCCTTCGGTTACTTGGAGGCTGTTCCGGCGACGACGCGTGTCCACGAGCCCAATGCAGAACGATCACTGAGCTGGCATCGTGGCCCCAGCGAACATTATGCAAATTTGCACATTATGATTTATGTTTTGCAGTTGCAGTTGCAGCGACAACAAACAATGCTCGCATTGCAAAATGAGCGCGAAATTAATTAATTACACTCGAGAATCGGAGGAGGAAGGCATTTCATTTTGAAGTGCATGCCGCCTGCCGTGTTCTTTAGCAAAATGTTGACAGAGCCAGAGACAGAACCGCACCACAAATTCAGACAATGATGAAAAACGGAGACGAAGATGACAGATTACAGCGCACTTTACTTTAAGTAATACTAAAAAATATTCGCTAACTGAATCCGAATCTGAATCTCAATCTGAATCTGATTGAGTTAAGCTGCAACTGGCACTGTATATGAATCTGTGTGCTTCTCATTCGTTCACAATTCCATGCTGCATAATTGAAGGTCTCTTCTTAATGGAGCTGACCCAACCACAACCCTTTGGGCACATCTCGGCTATGTGCCAGATTTACAAAACAGTTTTCGAATCGAATCGCAACATGGAACTGCACGAGCAATAGCTTTTAATCTATTTAAGCTCTTATACGGATTGTAAGCTGATACGTGTTGCTATATTCTAGAAAATCTATCAAATTGGTCTATGCCTTCCTGTTACTAAGGTAGAGTGTGTTGCATCAGATCTAATAAATAAATATTGAGGGTGTTTATAAGCTACGTGTTATGATTGTCATATGGGAGCTGGTATATATATATATATAAATATTGTTGAATACCAGCTCCCATATATGTATATAAATATGTGCATATCAATAAAATGCTCCAGGCAAAAGTTTACTTTAGATACTTTGGACCTAGACACCAGACGTAAATATAAATATATATACATATACATATATCTCCATGGCGAGCCTTCTCGACTAGAGAAATGGCATTGCTTGTTTGTTATTTAATTATTTTTGTTTTCGATATCAGGCTTTTAAGAAATACATATAATTTTCATATTAAATTAAGCCCTAACTAGATATGCACAACTAATGCAAGTGCTGGGCTCGTTTTTATACTCATAATCGCTGCTGCTGGGCTAAATTGATAATGATTCGCTTTTTGTTTCTAATTCATGGTAATTACTGCAATTTGTTAGCTTTTGTATTTTCATTTAATCACTGCGATTTGTGCAGCTGTAAGACCTACACTCAACTTTCGATGGGTCTGCTCGATTCTGGGATGCACTTCAAAAAGATCTCGAATACTTTCGAATATGCATACAAGTCTGGATTGTATGCTCTCAGCTTTATTTAAAAAAACTAAGATTCTGTAGATATTTAATTTCATATATGTATGTAAGTATATTTCTTGACACGCGAGTGTCGTATTTTAAAAGTTTGCCTTTAAGCGGCTTGCGAAGGGCAACTAACTAAGCTTAAGCTAGTACGTAAGTAAATTCTAGTAGAGCTGTAGTCGCAAGTGCCCGACTAATAGATACCGTGTTCTTTTCTTCCCGAATTAAATACATACTTGAATAACTCCGCTGTTAACAGAACGATCCTTGTTGAACTTGAACTATTGATGCTAGCCAGAATATTGAAGGGGGCAAGAGAAGTTACATATTTGCACAGAGCCATAACGACCCTTTAAGCCATTTTCAATGGGTACCTGGTATAAAACGGATAGTTAAATGTAAATGTTAATGTAAATGTAAAAATTATATACATACTTAGCATTTAATGTAGACAAGTTGTTCGCCCTGTTAGAGAAATTGGACCCACACCGGGTTCGAAAAGCAATTACAGCGGAATAGTTAGAAGCTTCAGCTTTAGCTCAGACTTGGAATGCAGTTCAATCGTCAAGTGAATCTCAAATCGACACAATGCTGCATCGCGAGCTGATCTCATTGGACAACGAAGTGTTCCGCTGCTATATAGGATGGAGTGCGCTCTTGGTTCTCAAAATGTTTTCCATGAGTCTAGTGACCGGCATTTGGCGTTTTATAACTTTGGTAAGTTCTAATATTTAGTTATGCATGTTTTTTGGTGCTGTCAGTATGACTCGGCGCTTTCCATGCACACACGTACACACACGCACACAGCCGCGCACACACGCACAGAAAGTGTTGTTGCCGCCGCATAGCACTGTTAGTTATCAGTGAGAGAGCCCAGTGAGAGCGAGCGCCAGAGAGCAGCCGGCATACATATAATAAGATTTTACGTCGTGCTCACGTCAGTTGATAGTTTGCAACGCACCAGGACGGTTCCCAATTGGCGATTGAAAGAAATATATTAATTTAGAAACAATCATGAGTCTGGAACTACTTACACTAACCAACCCGGTGTTCAAGAGCTATACGTTCTGGACCGGTGTGCTGGTAATTAAAATGTTGGCCATGGCTCTGCTTACGGCCATACAGCGCTTCAAGACCAAGGTAAGCGTATGCAGAAGGAGGATTAGTTAGCTGCTGGGTCAAAGTCCGGTCAGCAGGTGAAAGCGGCCAGATAATAAACATATTTTGACTTTGTTTGTTGCCTTTCAGACGTTTGCCAATCAGGAGGATTTGATGTCACCAAAGCTGAAGGTTAAATTCGACGACCCCAACGTGGAACGTGTTCGTCGTGCGCATCGCAATGATCTGGAGAACATTCTGCCATTCTTTATAATCGGCCTGCTCTATACACTGACGAACCCCAACGCCTTTCTGGCCATTAATCTGTTCCGTGCCGTTGGTATCGCTCGCATCGCCCACACCCTGGTCTATGCCGTCGTCGTGGTACCCCAGCCGGCACGTGCGCTCGCCTTCTTTGTGGCGTTGTTAGCCACGGCTTATATGGCACTCCAAGTCATTGCAGCTGCTGCTTTTTAAGCGGCTGTTGATATACGTATGAGTTACTCATTTTTATTATAGTAAAGTAAAGGCAGCCTGCAGTAGCAGCACGGGAGAAGTAGAATTTTCGATAATTGCGCCAAATCTTAACTTCATGTTTCTTGGCAAAACGAATAAACTTTTTATTTTGTATAATTTTGGTTTACTATACATATCATTCCTTTATTTTATTTATTTTTTTTTTTAATATGTTTAATGGTTTAGGAAAACTTGTCAGTTCAAAGTATAAAAGCTTGTTATCATGTCAATAGTTACATTAAAAATTGAGTGTCATGCTGGTATGCTAAAATTGAGCACGAAACTATCGTATAAATATGCATGGCGGTCGCCAATGATTAAATGAATTAATTGCTTAAGAAGTGGCGACAAATACGAACATATGAATAATTCAATTTAAATGGCTCAATTGCTATGTCAGAGTGATTAAATTATATCAAATTAATATTAAATTGCAGCACAAACTGTTCAAAATATCGCAACAACTATCGTAAGTGAAAACGAAATAGCATCGTTGCTTTACTTGCTTATCGATATATATAGGCATATATAAATATCGATTGTGATACCACCACCTCTTCGTCGATTGTCGCAACCCGTCAATTTAGAGGCATATCACCATCGCTTTGGTTCTGACCATTTTATATATATCTATCTATTTTTTTTTTGTAACAAATAATAAAGAATTACTGCAATGAAATTTCATGTGACACAATTAACAGCTGTAGTGCCTGTTTAGCAAACGTAAATCGTTTAAATCAAAAGAAGTTACGTGTAATTATATGATACGTTATTAAAAGGTATGTATATCTATGTGTGTGTATGTGCATATGTTTTGACGTAGTATGCCAGGCCCAACCTGTTCTGCCTTGAGGAAAATCAAAATAAACACATTTCAACTCAGTCAAGTTTGAGAAAAACTTTTCAACATAAACAGAGCAACTCATGTGACGCGAAAATAAGAAATTTCATGTGAGTGCCAATCATTGTAAAACGCATTTGTATAGCGTTTTGACCAAAACAAGCAAACAATAACAGTATCGCAGCGAGTACATGGATTTGCATTTGTGTGTGTATTTATTATGCACGCATACATATGTACGTGTGTGTACTTTTCAATATGTATGCCTATTCATCTGATAGGGTAACCGCTACACTTATATGCACACACACATACGTGCATCGATGTATATTAACGTATGGTTAATATGTGTGTGAGCATGTACGTACGTTTTTGCACGTCAGATGCAAAGTACGCTGTTCATATGCTTAAGCTAAAAGCTTGCCTGGTGGCTCTGCCCCGACTAAATACATGTATGTACAATGTGTGTACAATTTGATTAGCGTCAGCGAAGCGAACGCTTAAGGTTCTGCCAGGTACGCAACGCTTGATATCCGGAACCGATTGAAGCTTTTTGGTGTAAGTGTCGTTATCTTCAAAACATCACGCGTTTAACGTCTTCTTTTTTTCAAACCGATCTCCTCTCGCTTGTGAACGTTCAAATAACCATAATGATGCAATCTAGGGCGCTATAATATAAACTTTAGACCTGGGTAGCTGACAGGGTAGCTGATAGCGAGTGCCATACGTTTTGTTAGAAATAAATATTTATGACCTGCTTCAAAGTGTATTTTATCGGTATATTATGATTTGAGTACTTCTTTGGCTATTTAAATTGCAAACCTTTGCACCTGTTTACATGTCTAAACATGCATTAACAGGCCCACACATACATATATGGGTCATATACATAGGTATATCCATCATATATGAATATATATGTAAATATATGCGCACATATTAACACACGAATTTAACTCAAGTACTAGACAATTACCTCTGATTACGTCTGTTGCGATAAACATGCGACACATTCGGAATACATATGTACATATACATACACGCATGCATATCTGTAACTATATATGTATATTATTATTAACTTTTAAAGGAACATATTGTATAACTGGCCAAGTGCATCGCCTCATATTTAAGATGTCGCTTTCTCATCTACCCATCGGAACTGAAAGTTGATGTCAAAGTTAATGTACACGTTAAAAGTTCTGGTAGTAGTTCTAGATTTCAGATTTCAGATTTGAGCTTTGAGCCGAGAAATAGAGTTTTGCCCGTTAAGCCACACTTTACACTCTTGGCTTTCCGAAAAATGTGAAACGAATGTTCACCAAGATCTTGAAAATGAATTTGAAGCTGATCGAGATTCGTACGATAGTTTTCCGCGATTTTCGCAAAACCTCAGCTTAGCCTGCACCTACGCTCCCTAAAGTATCTATTGAAAGCTGTCAGGTTTCTAGTCCAGGGCAAACAGGGCTTAACAAGTCCAATTTATTAACTGTCGTTTTGTGTGCTGCGTCTGGAGTTAGTCAAATCCTGGCAGTCATTGTCGATTTGGGACGCACAAATTTGAATTATGTATTTAATATATATCCAGAAGCCATAGTGGCAAGTCTCACACGTATGAATTTCCACATTAAATTGAAGTTAGTTTAGGCACAAATTCTAAACATTATTTTTGAATTCTTAGGAGATACGAACGCATTCGAGCGGGAAGCTGAGCTAAGACACCTTTGTGCATTGAGCGTTTGTGTTGGGAAACGTGTCCACTATTGATTGGCAGTTGAGTATTTGTAGGTTTTCCAGAACCAACCTCCCAGCCAGTCCAGCCAGTTCGCGCACGCCCTCTTGGAAAGACAAGACACGGACACGCACACCTAAACTTACATAGACCCGTTGCCAATTCGCCGCAGTTGTGGGTTCACACCGGCTGATAATATCTATAATTGTTTTTCTTTGTTTCTGTTGTTTTTGCCCGTTGTAATAGGTATGGTTTGTGTTCTTTCAGCGCGTGCGTTTGGACGTCAAAGCAAAACCAGCAGATCCCATACAGACCAGAAAAAACAGTTTGAGGCACATTTGTAGACTGTTGCGGAGTGTCGACCATGGAGGCAGCAACAGCGACTCTGGTTGGCGAGCCACAGTTGCCAACGGCGCCCGAACTGCCCTCCACATCATCAAATGGCAGCAGCAGCAGCAGCAACAGCAACAACAACAATTCACCCACAAATGGGTCGGAGTGCGTAGATACGGACAACATTGGCTGGGCCAGGAAGCCTGCTGACGCCACATCTGAGCTGCGCCAGCGTGCAACATCGTATTCTTTCACGGGCAGCGCCCTTGCCAGTGGCAACTTTGCAGACATCAAGGAGCCGGGTGCAGCTGAGGCAACATCATCATCGGCAACTGGTCCGGCTAACGAGGCCGGCAGCAATGACAAGGACAAGGAGCCCAGCGAGGAGTCGCTGTACGAGTGTAATATCTGTTTGGATACAGCCAAGGATGCGGTGGTCAGCATGTGTGGCCATCTATTCTGCTGGCCCTGCTTGCATCAGTGGCTGCTGACACGCCCCAATCGCAAACTCTGCCCCGTTTGCAAGGCAGCCGTTGATAAGGACAAAGTAATACCGCTTTACGGTCGCAATAGCACACGCCAGGAGGATCCACGGTAGGTTGAATAATTCAAAACAATTGCGCCAAGTCGCCAAATTGATTAATTTTACTTATTCTTCAGCAATAAGGTGCCGCCACGTCCTGCTGGCCAGCGTACAGAGCCCGAGCCAGCCCCTGGTTTTCCAGGCTTTGGTTTTGGTGATAGTTTCCACGTGTCATTTGGCATTGGTGCTTTTCCTTTTGGTTTCTTTACATCATCGCTTAACTTTGGCGAGCCGCGTCCAGCTGGTGAGTACATTAGAATGTCAACATAAACATATATACCTATACTTATATACCCCTAATTGCGAATATTTAGCGGCTAATCGCGGCACCACACAGTACGACGATGAGCAGACGCTGTCCAGACTGTTTTTGTATCTCGCCTTTCTCTGCATCGGTTGGCTGTTGTTTGCCTAGCAACCTGTCGACGCGACAGCCCTTCACTAAACAACAATACACCCCAACAACAAGAACAGCAGCAACAATAGCAATGAATACAGACTACTACAACAGCAGCAGCAACAACAACAACAAAAACAACAACACTTTAATTTGGAGAGCATACAGAAAGCCTCAATTATGTATGAGGAGCACACTTTAACCGCAAAATTTCTGCAATTATGTCTCCTTGTAATTTCACGACATGCTGTCTTTAAATTTTAATTTCCATTTTACTTTCCATTTGAATTGATTTTTTTTTTTTTTTTTTTTTTTTTTGATTTTTTGAAATTGTACATTTTGTTAAGTTTCGGCGGGGTAAAGTTGCAAACATCGTGGAAAGGATTGCTGCACCCCGATGCTTAAGTTTCGATCGTCAGCGCTACTAAAGTGATCACTTCTTCAATCCTGTTGCATAAACAATCCTTTCTTCGTGTACTTTAATCGCTATTGATGAAAATGAAAACGACATTTACGAACATGTATTGTATAAAAAAAATTAAAATATACAAACAACCAAAAAATAAAGAAAAGACAACTCATCTTACGATTATGAGTGCATAAAAGCGTGTAGAAAAACAAAAAGATATTTGGATTTTATATTGTATGTACAATGCCCAATGAATTATGTACGCAGTTTAAAGCTTTTGCGTTTAATATGTATATGTATGTAACAATAAAAATATAGTTAATGGCAATGCAATCATCCATGCTTTTCTTGGGGGGACAAAAGTATTTGAGATCGAGCTTTATTTCTATTTATAGTCGGTTTCAAATGGGAATTTCTCGGGTAAAGAAACTCTAGTTTCGAAATGATATACCTCTCCCGACTCGTATGGAGCAGAACTTTCGATTCGCTTTCAAAAATTTCAATTCTGAAAGATTTCCAAAACAGACATATGGCAATTATGGACTTGATCCTGGAATTAAAAACTTTGTATCTCAATCGACTCTAAGGACCTCGGCGATTACAACGCGCCCAATCCTTCTGCGATCGGACTCCATTTAGTCGAGTTATGGCCATTTAAACTTTTTTTGGAAAAATCTTAAAACTTGAATATTTCGGGTCGTCCGATTTCGGAATGATATTCCTCTGTCGACTCGTATAGAGCGAGACTTTCGATGAGCATGAAATCTACATTATTATTAATATTAATAAAAATGATAAGGGGTCATATCACTAATTTTTCAAAAATCGGGTTGGTTTTGTAATCTCTTGATTCTAATCTGTTCTACAGAGTCTTACGAGTATGATCTTCAATTAAGTAAGTTATTCAAATTCCAAGTTAAAAAAAAAAAAAAACATCTCGTATTATTGCGTACAGTCAAATAAATATATATTTTATGTGAACAGTTTTGTGTAATTGATGCGGGGAAAACAAGTTAAATAAAAGACTAGATCATGTGAGATTTTTTAATATATTAAAATTTTTATTAATGCATTTCAGTGTAAAAATTAAAATGACACATTTTTTCCTTACGTAAATTTCACATGTTTCTTTCTCCCTTACTTGCTCTCGTTCTTGTCCTTGCATTTTGTTGAACGACAAATATAAAACAAAATACATACATATATGTTTATATGTATATACACACATATATATATATATATATATGAAATTAAATCATCAATTGCAATCATTTCATATAAATATAATTGCAATTTTATTGTTTTGCATAATTCACTGTTCATCCTTGCTTTGTTTGTTATTGTTTTCAGTTATCTGTATATCTATTTATAAATTTATTAATAATTGATTTAAGCATTTTTATTTTTGCTGATGATGATGCTGATGATGATTGTTGATGATCTTATTTAAATACAGTGTAATTTTACAAAAAAAAATTAAATAAACAATACAATTTTCTATTTAGCAAAACCCAAACATAACTTAAAATGTACCATGGAGTGGAGGGTGAGGAAGGGGGGGGGGGGGGGGGTTTGCATAAAATCATTACACATGTCCTGCTTTTGCACATAAGTATATTTAGTAACTCTATGTATACATAGATAGCTTACAACAAATTGTTATTGCATATTGAAAACTAAGTTGAGCCAAAAGAAAACGTTTTCAATTAAATCGAAATATCGCAATATGCGAGCTCTCGTGCTTTCAGTTGGTATATGGATCGTTTTTCAATATAATAGATTTAGACACAATTGATATTCGTGTAGTATGTGAGCATCTCACATGAAATGTAGCTGATATATTGGCTGAATTGTTGGGCAAATCAGATTTGTCCATAATATGCCAATTAATCAGTTAAAACCAATTGCGAATTACAAGCGCATGGCTCGAGTTTGTACGGATTTTAAAACTAAGTAGCTCTCCGATTGCTTTATGCTTTGATTAGGTACGACAGGGAAAGCTAGTGGTACAGGGCGGCAAATGGGCAGGCAACAAAAAAAAAAAAAAAAAAATATTGTCTCAAAAAAAAATAGATATTAATATTTATGCATGTAAAACTAAGATCTTAAGGTGGTTCCTAACTTGAGTGTTAGCTATTCATACTGAACGGATTTTTGTTTTTTTTTCTTTGTTTTTTTTTTTTTTTTTTTTTTTTTTTTTTTTTTGTAAATATCGTAATTCAGATTCTTATAATGTGTATAAAATGTGAGATTTTTGCATCAAATCAGATTGAAACAAAAATCAAAACGAAAAACAAAATCGAGCATGAACAAAAACACAAACGCTAAATACACCGTGTGTGTGTGTGTATGTGTGTGTGTGTGTGGGTTGTTTCTTTAACCTTTTCATGGAAACTGTAGTTTATTTCATTCATAATGTTGACTTGGAAAAGAATCGTAGAATTACGCATGATTGAAACAAGTTGGCATGGCCATAAAACCAAATCTAGCTGCATGCCACATGCCGCACTTTGCGGCTTCTAATACTTTGCATCTGTTAGGCACTATTTTTATTTCATTTTCATTTTCGTATTTGTTTTTTGCTTTGTGTTTTACTTTACTTTACGTGTCTCTGCTTCTCTGTAGTTATACCTATGTTTTAGTTTGTTTAGTTATTAACTTTCTCTCTTTCTTTTGTATAAATCGGTATTTTAGTAATATGTAATTGTAACTGTTTCCACGATTAAAAATTTTTAAAATAGTATTTGTTTTTCTTCTCGATTTTCAATTTATTATTATTGTTACTTTTTACCCATTTGCAAGTGAGTTTGTGTGTGTGTGTGTGTGTGTGTGTTTGATTGTTGTTTATACTAGTGTTTAACCAAAGTTCTTCATCAATATCGCTTACTATTGTATTTGTTTTTCATTATTGTTTATGCCTTGCTTTGTTGTCGATAAATGTACAAATTTCCCTTTTTTCATTTCGTTTGATTTATGCAAACACTTGAATTGAGTTTTCTTACTAACAAACAAAAAAAAAAATGCGTATTTGTTTTAATCGTACAACAACGAAATACTTTACATTTATAAATATGTATTATACTTTCTTTACCTTTGTATTGTTTATAGTTTAGCCTTAGTTACCTACATATACATACGAAAACGATACTATTTTACATTTACAATACATTCCTTTTATTTTTAATTAGTTTTAGTTCATATATATATATATTTTTTTTTTCTTTTTTTTTGTAGTTTTTTTTTTTGTTTTTGTATTGTATTTCTTGGTAATTATCGGTGTCATGCAGCAAATGCACGCCCAACCCGACGCAACCAGCCCAAGGCGACCAGGTCCCAGCTGGAGGATGTGTGCGGCAAGTGGCATTTATGGATACGTTCGCAGCTTTTGGATATGGCATTGGATGGCGACACATGTATCGGATAAAGCCACTCGACGACTACCCTGAAGCAGGCTAGCCCATTGAGCTGGTCGGGTAGTCACGACTTGGAAGGTCGCTTGTTGTTATTGTTGTGCGTGCACTTGAAGCCAAGTTTCTTTCGTTTGCTCACATTTGAATTTGTTCTTGGTTTTGCTTTTTGTTTTAATTCGTGTTTTTGTTTTTGTTTTTGTTGTTTTTAATGCATTTAAATCAATAGTTAATCATTTTAATAACGGTGGATCGTTCGATTCATGCTTAAATGAATTGTTTTACATATATACGTTTTACACTATAGTTACATAAGTATATCGAGAAATAACATCGTGGTTTAACACACACACAAACTGCTGTAAGCTGCTCTTGTTGTTGTTCTTGTTGTTTGTTTGTTTGTTTTTAAGAAAATTTATTTTTCGAGTTTTTTCCTTTTGATTTTCCTATCGTTGTGCATGCTTTCCCTTTTAGCTGCTAGCTCAGTGTGTGTTCTTTTTAATGCGCCTCAAAGGCAACGCTACCCCATGCACTTCCCTCTCAGCTCTCAGCTGGCAGCTCTTTTCTAATCCTAACAAGCTCCTGCCCTCAATTCATCCAAATATGTGTGTGGCATACGCTGTAATTTACATAGATAATTAAAAATAACTAATGTAAAAGTTACTATACATTATGCGCCATAACTCTAATAGCTATAAACATACACTCAAAAAAAAAGGATATATAGATATTTATATGTATATATAAATAACCACATATATATATACAGTTATTTATATATGTGTCGAATAAAATATAGAATACAAGATGTACAAACATATGCACGTTTATGTTTGCGGTGTAATTTTGTTTACTCTGATGTTGTTGTTGTAAATTAATTATATTAAACTTTTTAACTTTGATTTTTTTCATTTGAAAAATATCAGCGCACGACAACTGTTTCGCTTTAATGTTTTTTTTTATGTTTCGTTTGACAAAATAAAACATAAAAAAAGAAAGCTAAACATACAAATTACACACAAAAAATATGTTTTAAGTAACTTTGAGATCATTTAAATGTATTTTTTTATGCATGTAAATATATGTAGATAAAAAAAAAATTACTACGCTGACAGTTTCCAACAGGCAGACAGACAGACAGACAGACAGACAGACAGACAGGCACAAGCACAGCGCACAGCACGGCAGCAACTCGGCACGACAGCAACAGTTGCCGACAGACAGGTCTATATATAAATATAGCAACGCTTTAGCTGAAGGATTGTCTTATTGTTTTCGAAAGGCAATGCAATTCAGTGACAGGTTTATAAAGTTAGGTACAGCAGGCTCTCTTTCTCTGGCATATAGATATGCATAAATAAATCAAATATAGTACATGCCTGTGGCACGCTTTCTTGTTGTGCGTCTCTGTGTGTGTGTGTATGTGTGTGTGTGTGTGTGTGTGTGTGTGTGTGTGTGTTTGTGTGTGCGTGTGTACATAATAAATCGCCAAAGCTAACATACATATATAAATATATATATCTATCTATCGTATATGCCTAATCTAACAGCATGCCTCGCCTACAACAACTACTGCTCACAGTCGGCATCGGCCACGTTGTCATTCGCATTGCCAACGGCGGCAACGGCAACGGCAGCCACATTCACCTGCCGCAACATGCGCAGCTCATGGGACGTCGCCTCGTCGTTTACCTCGTTATCCTCGCCAGCTTTGCTGACCCCCAGGCTGCTCAAATTGAGCGCCGCATTCTCAGCGGCCGCGTTCAGTTGCGTGTACTCCTGGGCGGACAGTTTCAGAAACTGTTCATAGGTGGTAAGATGTTGTTGTTGTTGCTGCTGCTGTTGTTGATGTTGCTCCAAGTCAAACGATTGCTGTTGTTGTTGCGTTTGTTGCTGCTGTTGCTGTTTACCGCTGTTGTTGGCGACACAGGCGCTGTAGGGCGGCGGCGGTGGACGGTCCTGGTAATTCACAAGTTGCTGCTGCTGCTGCTGTTGCTGTTGCGTTGAGTGTTGCTGCAGCAACATGTGTGTGTCTTGACGTAATTGTTGCTGCAATTGTTGTTGTTGTTGCTGCTGCTGCTGTTGTTGCAAATGATAGCTATTCTCTGGCAGCACCTGCGCATACAGCACCTCATCCACTTGCAGCGCTGAGATGCCACTCAGTTGCTGCTGTTGTTGCTGCTGTTGCTGCTGCGGCGATGTCGGCGATTGTTTGATAGCGGCCGCAACTGTTTTCTGTCCTGTGCCTTGCAGAGTTGTTGAGCTGCAGGCTTCCTCTGTGCTGGCGGCTGCTGCTGCGTTGCTGTTGTTGTTGCTCTTGATGGCATTATTATTGTTGCCGTTGCTGTTGCTAGTGGCTGTGTTGCCGTTGCTGTTAGTGCTGTTGTTAGTTGTGCTGTTGTGGGTTCTACTCGTATTGTTGCTGTTACTGTTGCTGTTGTTGCTGTTGTTGTTGTTGTTGTTGTTGTTGTTGTTGCTGTATTCGCTGATTTGTGCATTGGTGGGTAACGCGGACAGATTGGGCGCTGCTTCATGCAGCTCATGCTATTCCTTTATAAGGCGATAGATGTGGTGCGTGGTGCCGCTGTTCTGCGCCGCCACCTCAAACACATACGCTATGCATAGCAGTGTCTCTTTCGTTTCTTGCGCTCGCATTACCTAGACAGAGGGAGACAGACAGACAGAGAGAGAGAGAGGGGGAGAGAGAGAGCGTGAGTATGTGTGAGCGAGTGTTAGAAGAAATCTTCCTTCTCTACTCACTTGCAGTATTGTAAAGTTCTCGAGCACACTGTTCATCATATAGCGTTCAGGTAGGTTCTTCAGCTTTTGTATGAAATTGATCATGTACTCGCACATGGGCGAGCGCTGAATGCGGTAAACGTAGCGATTGTTTTCCAGGCGCGAATACTCGTGCTCCACCTTTTCCACAACCTGTTTGCCAAACGAGCAGACAATTGTCGAGCAGACGAGCTCAATGTTCTCATTACTTTCATATCTGCAAGGTAAAGAGAATGAGTTATAAATGAGCAACAGAGAGTGAGTAAGAGAGAGAGAGAGAGAGAGAGGGAGAGCGCGTTTACTTACTGGCTTGTAACGCCATAGAAATCGCCCGTTTCACTGCCCGTCGTTACGTCCGTGTTGAGATCCGCCCAACATTTAACCAGGTAGAACGCATTCTGCGGACCCTGCTCGTAAAGCTCTTTGAGACCGCCGGATTTCTCCGGAAATTTGTCAAATATTTGCCGGATGTCAACAGTCTGATATATATATAAAATAAAACATGAGAACCATTTGCGAATTACTAGCATATCACAAGCTCAACTCACCTCAAGTAGCGGATCGGAGAAGGATGGCTTGCCGCCCAGCTGTACGAATAGATGTCGGTGATACTGTAAGACAGAAGAAGAAGAAGATATAATATTGTGACATTATCAGGAATCGTAAATACGCCAGCACTTACGATCTCATCTCTTTGGATTTCCATGAAGGCCGTAAACTCGAGCAAGCGGAATTTCTGCGTGGCAATCGCGCGTCCTTCCCATGGCAATTGTGCGGGCGGAATACCAGCCTCTATTTCACCGGAGACCGCCGTCGAGGGCTTGCCGGGCGTATAGGGCGGCTGGGCGAACGGCTTGATGCTGTAATCATAAAAACTATTGGTCAATGCAAATGCGTTGTGTTTTTCTGTTTTTTTGCGGGCGATGCCAACTTACTCTTGTGATGTGCTCGGCTGCAGACCGGGTTGCCAAAATTGCTAAATCATCCGTCAAGCAAGAGTGCGAGCAGGACAGAGAGAGAGAGAGAGAGAGAGAGAGAGTGAGGGCGAGAGAGAGAGAGAAATCAATTAATACAAATTGTGAGTGATGTAAATATACAACGTTTAACAACACTAAGCTAAGCACGATTTCTTTTAATTGGACATGGTTACACAGCTGATGAGAGTACGCATTAATGATTGAGCGATTGATTGATTGATTGATTCGTTGATTGATTCGTTGATTTGACTCGGTGAGCTTACCAAACAATTATTACATACGAATACAAATACTAGTACATGTAAGACTCTATTTACTTGTATTATAAACAGCTAACGAGAATTTT